GTAGAAATAGTAGAAATAGTAGAAATAGTAGAAATAGTAGAAATAGTAGAAATAGTAGAAATAGTAGAAATAGTAGAAATAGTAGAAATAGTAGAAATAGTAGAAATAGTAGAAATAGTAGAAATAGCTGAATAGTTACGGAAGCAAAAGAAAGCTCGTGATATTATCTTCCCTCCCTAGTAAGATAGTACCCAGGCAAGTATAATGAAGAGTCATAGATGGTATGTACATGCAAACGCAATCTTCATGCCCTTTTCTCACTCCTTTTGATGCTTTGCAGCCTCGCCTCTCCCTCAGCACACGAGTGTGCGTACTCTCCACGCAATTTCTAATCGAATTGGAGAATATAGCTCTTCCGCTGCTTTTCAAGAGGGGGTGGGTTTGGGGACTGGTACCCCATCATCCCTTGGCAGACATAGCAAGGCTGATGAAACGCCCACTTCGGTGGTTGAAGGGCGATGCCAATCTCATTTTCGCCACCTAGAAAGCTGTCGTCCCCCCTCATTTGCCCTATCGCTGCTAAACGAGACATATATTTGAGCTCTTTCTCTCCAAGAGCACGAGTTGCCTGGTGGCCTCGAAGATAAGCCAGCTCTTTCTCCTCCTTTTGGCGGAGTGCCTGGAAAGCCCTCAGTGCCAGTGGGATGTACTCCTGGAGCCGAATGTCGCGTGCCTTCCTGGTAATGGCAGACACGGCCGTCAATCCGCCCCATGATGTCTGGTTTGCGCCGAAGACGACACGGGATCGATCCTCGGTTGCTGCGACAAAGAGCATAGTAGGTCGTCCACACTTGCCAAAAGTGACCCTCTCTATACCCGGCGGTAGGTCAGGCAGCGACAAACCTCTTTGCATATCGAGAGAAGCTAAACATGGTTAGCAGACTGCATGTGAGTGCGTGTAATCTCATTGAATATATCCAGTAGCAGCAGTAGCAGCAGTAGCAGCAGTAGCAGCAGTAGCAGCAGTAGCAGCAGTAGCAGCAGTAGCAGCAGTAGCAGCAGTAGCAGCAGTAGCAGCAGTAGCAGCAGTAGCAGCAGTAGAAATGGTAGACAAATGGTAAAACTTACAGAGCAGGACACGCGTTATGTGATCAGTTGGGGCGGACGCCATTTTATTGATACATGCCAACTGGTATAGTAGTTGGTATGGACTGGCCGTCGGGACCTTGTCTCCTACTTGTGGAGCTTTCCAAACAAAATTGAAGCCTGCTGTCGCCAACACATCTGCCCTGACACTTGAGAAGCGAGTAAAGGCCGATTGTGCATCAGTCAGCTTTGAGCCAATGGACTGAACGGGCTTACTGCTTGGCGAGGCGGGTGTGTAAGCGTAAACATGGAGTCTACCCTTGATTTTGACCAGAGAATCCAAAACAAGGACCTGCGAATAATATAATAGGCTCTTAAGGAACTCCTCGGCGGCTAGAGTGCGCCTTTTGTGAAGACCCATTGCCTGAAACATGGCGATATCTTCGGTAAAGCCGATGATTGCGCGACGAATGACATCGAGAGGCTCGGACCATGTAGCTTGAACCTCTACGTAACTCATGGGGCGGAATATGATTTGAGGCTTCATAGCCGGGAACTCTCTGACAAGTGTCAAGGGGGCCATTGTGTCGAAAAAGGTCAAGACGAGCCTGTATGAAGAAGGTAGGTTGTGAAGTCTGGTATCAAAAAAGAGTTGTCAGTTCTAGAAAGGTACATGGACCATGCTAAGTATATGTATACACTGAGGGCGTGCAAGTCACTCGGGTGTGAAGCATATATGACATAGCCCTTCTCACTTATCATTGACAATTAAGAATTTAAAATTTCAAGCGGTGAATCACCGCTTATCTTTCAAGCACGGGTATGCACACAGATGATGTGACGCTGCTGTGGAATACTACCTTTTATCTTAAATTTAGATAGGCATACATGTATATTGTTCTCATGTGCCCCATCTGTGAATCACTACCTTTGCTTCCAGTCAGTAGTTTATGTATCATGTGGCCTTTCTGTGAATCACTGCTTTTGCTTCACAACGGGTAAGCACATGTATCATGTGGCGCTCTTGTAAAGCCCTTTTCGCCTTAAACACGGGTATGTGGTTGAATTACGTAGCCCTTCTTTTACATATAATAGTTCTCCACGGCAATAATATTTTTTGGAAAATTAAGACGTCCAGTAACACTTGAATATGGTAAATATATCCTCCTATGTGTAGATATATTGTCTTATTAAGCTAGATGGAGTGCCGGATAACAAAACTAAATTGTTGAATAATATTTCCCTAAATTCAGCATTTATTATTTGCTTTTCCACAATAGCAGCCTTTTCACAGTAGTAGCTTTTCCACAATAACAGCTTAAGCTTTTGTGTTCAAGTGAGTCACTGTTTCAGTGGATCAGCACGTGGCTCACTTTCCAACATGTCTGTGAAAAACTTGAAGTTAAAGTGAATGGCTGCTACCTACATGTACCTACACAACCCTCTTCTCACTACCCAACTACCTATAAAAGCAGCCCCCGTCCCCGTCTAATCCTTTTCCCCCCCAATCTCTCCATCGCTCCCACATCTCTCATCTCTCATCTATTTCCCATCTCTGGTCTCAGGTATTATTTTTGGCCCATCATGGAGCCCACAAGCCGCAACGCTCGTTTTGACGAGATTTTTGATCAGTTATTTCATCACTCCCTCAACACCGAAGAGTTCATGAAAGTTTTTCACGAGTTACTCCCAGATCCAGAGGAGCGCCGCGCATACAGCCAATACTGCTTCATACAGAGTCAGCCGCATTTGGCCAATCCTGCTGGTATTTTAACGCCGGATCGATTCATTGAAATCGCAGATAGAATCAACTTCCTCAATTCGACGGAACGCAAAGAGCTACTGCCCGGACTCACATGGGATTATCGGCCGTGGATTCCCCTTGGCTACGAGGATACAACATTCTACCGCCTGCTTCCATCCATCCACAACTTGTCGCCGCAGAACCCGGAGTGGCCCAAGACAGACTATGAAGTTTTGGACACTGCATTTCTTGGCGTGAACACTACAGTGCAGCCCCGTGAGCCATCTCAGCCACTTAGCCGCCGCGCACTCAATCTATCAGAGCAGTCGACCCAGTCAGCAGAGTCAGATGACGCAGATGCCCCGGGATTTGTTTTCCACGAGCTCGGCGAGCTGCAGTGTTTGGAATGTGACACCTTTTCTGAGATGCCGACAACGTATGAGGAGGGCAAGAACTGCAGAGGAAACTGGCGACCGACTGGCTTCCATGTTGTGGCTCGGCTTGGCGATTTCGGCCATATGAACGGAGTTTATGTCATCTTCAACATGCAACCAGACGACGAAGTCACTGGCCTGCCGAGACAAATCACAGACAGCGAATGGGGTATCCCGCCCAGCTCCCCCGAAGCGCAATTCTCATGCGCAAAGATTGGCAGAGCTTTACGAGATTTCGGGTTCGGGAAGAGGCTGGCATGGAATGAGCAGATTCAGCATCCAGTCGAATTAGTGTGGGCGGTGAGATCATCAACGGGGAGTGCGATGCGCGTAACGGTGGACAGTAACTACAAGACGCGCTCGTAGATGTACTTTGACATGATGAAATGTGGACAGAATGGGATAGAGCTTTTTCCACGAAATGAAAAACTAGATATTCTAGATAGTGATAATCTATAACAAATCTACTGATGCCACTGATGCCACTGATGCCACTGATGCTACCTCTTCTAGGTACTGGTAGTTGTTATATGCCGTAAGTTACAACATCCATGCCAGGCCACGTAACCGACTTCTCTAAAGTAAAACCGAAATCACACCAAGATGTCAAGGCTCTATTGAACAAAAGAGAATGGCAAAGCTCTATCAGCCAGAGCGCAAGGATTATACAGTGAGATGGTCGATGGGATGCAAAGCTCTATCAGCCAGAGAAAGAAGACGATGGCGAGATGAGAGGAGATGGAGAAAGAACAAGTGAAAGCAGTGACTTCTACCTAAGTAACGACCTATGTCATTAAGGCCAGGGCGCTATGTATGAAGCGTTACAAGAGTTTGCGCTGAGAAAAAGTAAAAAGTTCGGCGGTGACTCAGATAATCGTGTGGCTGCTGCTGTGGAAAGTTACCTACTCGAGGACCACATATGCCTTTTAGTACCTCCTAGTGTCAACAGCATAAAGGGGCTGAAAGTTTTGGATGTTCCAAGGTTCGCAGGTTGGCATACATGTAGCTGCGCTGGAGATGGTCGATGCGACTGGCAATTCCAGACCCTGCTTGTACCTGGTGTAGCTGGTTTGCCGCTTTATTGTATTGTATTTGACACCGGACCAAAAGCCACTCAGTAACATTGGGTAGAAGTTCATTAGTAATTCCCTTTCTCAAATTGTAGATAGGTCGGCATGCGTCTAAGAATCCCGTTGACACCGTTGAGTTGTCTAAGAGATAAACAGCTTTTAGATGCTTGGACTGCAGCAGATCCAGGCCTCGTAGAATTTGATGACTTTGGAACCCCTGGCTGGTTCAGTATTGCGGTTTTTTTTTTTCTTCTTCTTCCGTTTGGGATGGAGTATCCTTACTTCTCGATGCGTGTCAACATCAAAGCAGACAGATCTCATGATAGCCGGTAGCCTTGCCCAGGCAAACATTGAGAAGACCCGCAGACTTCCGATGTCTTGCATGTGCACACTAATGCGATGCTGTCATATAGTATTGAACGTATCATCTTGGGCATTTGCCTCGATGCTGCTATACAACTTTGTGGCGGCAACTCTAGGTGGAACTTAACAGGCCATATTCAGGACATTATAGTGATACTTTAATGGAACCTATGTTATTGCGGATATACTCGTACACACCGATTCAGATAACGGTTTTCTCCATTCAAGGAAAATATATTCAGCATCTCAATCCCGTTACTAATCCATCGTCCCAACTTGCATCCCAAGCTCCAGCTTTGGCAATAGCATCGGTAGCGGCAGAAAGCCTGTGCTATAACGAAACATAAATCTGGATGCTGTAAATACACCGCAGAAGCTTCATGCTTTCTTCCTAGTCCAATACCTGGCTCTGTAGTCGCACCTTTCGACAGTCTCTAGAAGGCTTTCACCGCCAGTAACATATAGTGTTCGAATCAAATGTGACGCGTCATCTTCCTTGTAGCAGAAGCCGCCTTCCATCTCGCCGCAAGAAGTCTCGTTTGCGCCGAAGACAAAGGGATCGATCAAATGTTCTTGCGACACAGCGAAGATCATACTGGGCTATTCACAGAGATGATATGGACAAGCTGTTGGGACCATATCCTGTTGAGACAGAGGACAGATCCTCGGTACATGTCATCTAGTAGAGCAGCTGATATGGAAAAGTTGTTGGAACCATATCGCCTGTTAACGAAGTCTGCCGGCCTGTCAGCGCCTTATCAAGTCGAGATATTGTAAAGCGAGTAAAAGATCGTCTCGCATCTGCCAGCTTCAATCCATTTGGGTGGCTGGTAAAGCTGGTGTGCTAGAGTAAACTTGCAATTCGCTCTCCAACTTGGCAAAAGGACCCAAAATATATTTGCGAGTGATGAAGAAGGCTGCAGACCTGCAATGCTCAACGCCACCATGATGTCAAAGGTCGGCTAAATGACAGAAAATTGGTGCAAGGCCTATATAATATGCCAACAAGCCGCCTCCAAAATACCAAGCAGTGCATCTAGACACGTTGAAGTGCCATCTTTCTTGAACAGAACCTTCACCTTTCTTCCTAATCTGCTACAAGTACTACATTTCCTTCAGTCCCCCCACCTTGAGATGGCCCAAGATAATAAAGACATACTTGGGTTCGTGCCCAAAAGTGCATGTTCTTCGACCTGCTGGGTGACAATCCAATGGTTGATCAATCATGAAGTAATGTAACATCTCCTCTCCGAACTTGGATCATACAATTTATTGATACTGCACTCGACTACACCGCAGTCAGTGTTATTCTACTACTAGTAGATGATCTTTACCCCACTTATTTTAGGAATGCTGCACTTTATATCGCAGTTGTCTTTTACCCTTTAATACAAACAGATTTCGAGCCGCACGAGACTAATAACATTAGCTACGAAATTGCAAGGGCAAAGTGAAGTCGAGATTGTTTTCTTTGAACCATTTGATCGATCTGAAAGCTACAGGTAGTTGGCGTACATAGATAGTCACAGTCGCCCTAGATTGATCGAGGCCATTCAAAATCGGCCATTGATGCGCGCGAAGCTGGGAATGGTCTGCTGGTCATTTGTATGTTTCCTGTTTACTTCATACCATTGATGAATCGAGCACAGTGTAAATGCAAACATGAAGCGATTAGACATGGTTCGAATTTAGCAACCCGGGGCGTCTACAGCAGATTCTGTCTTCTCTTCCATGCCACTTTCCATGTGATAATCATGTGTCTGCAGGGGAGGCCCTTTAAGACGCCGACTGCCGAGTCTCTACCGATATTCTAGATTCATGTACGATAGACAAACAATTTGCCCTGAATTACCAACAAGACGTAATCAGAGCGTTGGGTCGTATTTACGGCTACTAGAAAATCTCCGAGGACAATGCTTGAAAGTTGCCCCCTGGCGGTGGCGGAAGCTGAGGTAAGGCCACTCAGATGGATGGATTTTGCTCAGATTCGACGTGCATGTGGTGGGCTGACCAGATCCATGGTAAGTTTTTTATCTCTCACGTCATGCGTTTTTGGCCCTCTTATTTTCTCTTTTTCTATTATTATAGCTGGCTGTGACCAATGGTTGGGATTCCCAACAACCAGGGAACAAGTAAAGGGGGCCAAGTTAGATGAATTTCTGATCTCAGGTTGAGTAACACCGGGAGATAGGCGTGCTGGCGGAGCATGCTTAGATGGTGCATGTCTTGTCAAATATTCCCGTTTGTCCGTGGTGCTACCTTGTTTAGTAGCTGTGGCCGCACTGTGCTTCCATTGTTTTGGTGTTTGTTGTCTGAAAGATTGTGCAGATTCCTTCAGACCGACACAGATGAGGCGGTAGGCAGATGGACGAATGAAGGAGCTGGTGTGGTGCAGGGCTATGCAGAGAGATGCATGCACGCAAGCAACGGTAGCCGTCTCGAGACATTCACAAGGGTCCATTGTCTGTCCACATCAGAGCTTGTCCATACAGGCACTATCAATCAATGCTAGGACGGACTAGAGCAGCAAGTCGAAAAGGGGCCAAGAAGGGGATCTGGATCAGACGAGCCGAGATGCGATGGCGATACGATTCAGCCTGAGTTGGCGGTCAAGAAGAACGGCATAGCCTGATGGGATCAAGTGATCGTGGACAGCAACCAGATTGACATTTGATGGAACAATCAATGAATATTGCAGCACGGTCCTTGGGGGCTCTTGGGCCACTGTGCCGGCCGGGGCTCCACCTGCATTAGCCGCTGGGACCGCCACGGCGCACCGCTAGTGTCAGCTTCCAGTGCCTGGTAGGCTTCCTGGTAGGCCTGAACGAATGGGACGAATGGGGGCACGAATGGGGGCACGAAACGGCTCGCATGACCGACGACCGCCAACTCGACGTCACTCGCTGCAGCAGCTACTGTCACCTGTAGCCTCGTCTGTCTGAAGAAGTCTCTTCCTCCCTTTTCAACCTGACCCTCTCTTGCTCTGCTTGTCCTGTTAATGTTTTTGGATATTTTCTTCTTCTTTCTTTTACAGATACATACTTGTATATACTGTAACCATCACATATATACCGAGTCCCCGCCATCTCCCCGCCCAAAGCCAGCTGCCAAAGGATTGGAGCAATCCCCCGGCCTTGTCCCGCACATCCTCGGCTACCGCCCAGCTACTGCTTTTAACCTTAGTAGCTTCCGCGGGGCCGCAATCGCTCGTCGCCACAACTTAAGAGTCAGACGAGGCTTTCAAGTCAGAGACACAGACTCGCTGCCATCTGCGTGTTTGCTGAGATTGTCCATATTCTTATGCGCCGCGTCTTACGGTCTCTCCAGCAGTGCCACCGCAGCAGCTTCACCTCGGCCGGCCTTGCAATCCTGCCTTAGACGCTGCCCCTCATCTTGTCTCGCATTACGGCACTCTTCTTCTTCTTCTGCTATTTCTGCTACTTCTGCAACTCTCCCTCTTCACGCTCCTCTCCATTGATTGCTTCTCTCGACACCACCTGTCCACGGCGTGTCCTTCTGATCCTCTGACATACCCAATTCTCTCTCTGATCTCTGGGGGAACGCGCGCGCGCCGCTGCTCCCCCGCCAGCGCCCATCATGTCATGGCGGGCGTCCGAGACCCTGATGGACACCATCCGCCACTATGCCCGGTTCCCAGCAACCGGCGTGAGCCTGCGCCAGATGGTGCAGTTTGGCGATAAGCCGTCCACAGGTGCGTTGTCCTCTTCCTGCCTCGCGATACTCGATCCATGGCCCTGATTGAGTCGTTGCGCCGCTTGAACCTTGAGCCGTGCTGACATCATCGCCGCAGGTACCCTCTTCCGTGCCTCACAGTTTCTGGCCGAGGAGCTGCCCATCCGCCTGGCGCATCGCGTCGAGGAGCTGGAAACCCTGCCCGACGGGCTCAACGACATGCCGTCGGTGCAAAAGGTCAAGGAATGGTATGCCCAATCCTTCGAGGTACGTCTGCGCAATGCGCATGTCTTGCTTTTGGCAATGCCGAGGCTAACCCCAGGTCCGATTGTAGGAAATCACCCAGCTGCCCCGACCGAGACTCGCCAAGGACACAAAGGAACGACTCATGAAGCCGGCCAAATATGGCTCGCGCGGCTTCTTACAGCTGTCCGAATCAACGCCGAACCCATCCATTGACGAGGGCGAGGCCTCGGGCTGGGGGAACCTCCACCTCAACAGCAACGGCCACTCCAATGGCAATGGCAACGGCCATGGAAAGGCCCGATCCGTCGCGCGGAGATACTTTGCGACCGTCGACGACAACGGCGACTGGCCGCCCGAGCTGCAGCTCTACAACCAAAAGTTCGCCCAGTGCCTGCACAAGATCAAGAGGCGGCACGACAGCGTCGTCACCACCATGGCCCAGGGCATCCTGGAGTACAAGCGCCGCCGCCAGCGCATGCAAATCGACTCCAACATCCAGTCCTTCCTCGACCGCTTCTACATGTCGCGCATCGGCATCCGCATGCTCATCGGCCAGCACATTGCCCTGACCGACCAGAGCCACCACCGCGACCCCACCTACGTCGGCGTCATCTGCACCAAGACCAATGTCAAGGAGCTCGCGCAGGAGGCCATTGAGAATGCCCGCTTCGTCTGCGAGGACCACTACGGCTTGTTCGAAGCCCCGCGCATCCAGCTGGTCTGCAACCCGAACCTGGACTTCATGTACGTCCCGGGCCATCTGTCACACATGCTCTTCGAGACGCTCAAGAACTCCCTGCGCGCCGTTGTCGAGACCCACGGCATGGACAAGCAAGAGTTCCCCGTCACCAAAGTTATCGTCGCCGAGGGCAAGGAAGACATCACCATCAAAATCTCTGACGAGGGTGGCGGCATCGCAAGAAGCGCCATTCCCCTGGTATGGACCTACATGTACACCACCGTCGACCGCACACCCAATCTCGACCCCGACTTCGACAAGAGCGACTTCAAGGCACCCATGGCGGGCTTCGGATACGGTTTGCCCATCTCACGGCTCTATGCCCGGTACTTTGGCGGCGATTTAAAACTCATCAGCATGGAAGGGTAAGTTCCGCTAGTCCTATGACCTGCATATCATGCAGGTCTTCCTCACCGCTAGTTTTGAACAATCGAAATGTGCATACTGACCCGCCTCCCCTGCTTCCTTAGCTACGGCACCGACGTCTACCTCCACCTGAACCGCCTGTCCTCATCGTCAGAACCCCTCCAATAGCAATTAAGCACCGCCCACGCCAGAACCTCCTCGGCGCTCAGCATTCGCAGCAGGCTCAAGAGCAGCTCGCGCGAAGTGACTGAGCGTCGGCAGGTGGGGGACGCCGAGGCGGTGGTGAATGCGCCTCCAAGCAGCTTTCTCAACAAGGACGACAAGCAGCTGTAAGAATAGGATTAAACATAAAAAAGCAAAGGGTGGTGATGATACCAGGCTTCATTACATCCCCTCTCTCTGACACACACAAACAACGATACACACATGTACACACACGAATACTAACGCGCACACAATGCGAAACCGCTTCGATACCTGGGAAGTAGAAGATCTTCTACTCCCTAAGCCTGCCTGCATTGCATTTTCACAAGCATTGTAGACCGAGCATACGCCATTTCATCTCATCTGCATAGGAGCAGTCCTACAAGCAACACAACGCACGTACACACACACATATATAACTACTTACTCGCCCGTTGCAAAAGGCATCTGTCACGGTTGTATCGAAATCAAATCATACCATCCATCTCTTCTCCCCAAAGCAAAGGGAGGGAAAGCAAACCATGTACCGAAATACTACTACTTGAATATATACTTGAATAGGATAGGATACGACAAGAAAGGAAAGAATTGGGCAGGACAGGACAATCTAAAAGAAATCAATGTTATGATGTTTGTTTTTTATTCTCATCTCGCATTAAGGTGAAGACCATCGTCTCATATCTGTGAACATCCCTAGTATCTCTAGTACCTCTAGTATCTCTAGTACCTCTAGTATCTCTAGTACCTCTAATATCCCCAGTATATCTAGCATCTCTAGTATCTCTGGTATACCTAGTCTTCTTCATCGTCATCCGGCTCACAAAAGGCCGCGAAGTTATGCTGCTGAGCACGATGCTTCACCGGGGCAACCTGTCGAGCTGCGAGGTGGTGGTTCGTTCCAAACTGGCGTAACTCCGTTGAGGTCATCCGGACCTAGATAGTCTTAGCGTTGATCGATAGAATAGGCGGAGAGATACTTACACCTTTGGCCCATTTGTTCCTGCCTGGGACTCCAGCATTCGAGCTTTGTCCTCCTGCATCGCTAGAAGCCCCGATCGAACTGCCTGCAACTGAGCTTGCTGTGAGGGACTTGACGTTTCGGTGCTGAATGCCCGCCGGGTCCCAAGCGTTGAAGGATACTCGGCGTGGTTTGTTCGAATCTCGCATCTCTCTGGCCGTCGTAGCCGTCGAAATGCTGCTCGGATTGAAATCGCTCTCACTGGGGGCGTACTCGGAAGCGTCGTTATGAGAGGGCATCTGTTGCTGTGCGACGAGGCCGCGAAGATGCGGCGGTAGTGCGTTACGCGGTGCAGACGCAGACGCAGACGCAGACGCAGACGCAGACGCAGACGAAGACGCAGACGAAGACAAACGACCACTGAGAATGGAAGCCACATCGAGTAGAGACGGATCAATATCTTCCAAGCCAAGGGACGATAGACTAGTGATTGGTGCCTGGGGCACGAGATCATCGGAAAAGAAATCAGTGTCATCGACAAAAGTGGCTGGCCACATTTCTCCGCGTTCCTCTTCGACGGAGACATGGCCAGTCTCGAGAGGCGCAGGCACAACCTCTGGCTCCTGTGTTTCCATCCAGGCAGTGCATCTTTTGCAATGCTTTGAAAATCATCAGTGGTGTGAATTGGAAGCAGTATATGGAAGAAAGGAGACCTACAACGCTCTCATGCCTCTTGCTATTGCCACTAAACTCGTTCAACGGCTTGGTCAGTCCACACAACTCACAAGTCATCTCTGTTCGTTGGCTAGAGGTATGCTCCTTGCAAGTCATTCCAGAGTTGGCCGCATCGATGCGCAGTCGACGGTCGATCTGGTACTGAACGAATCTTTGTTGGCTCTTGGAAAATGCGTCAAGAGGCTTCCACTCTCCGCCAACTTTGCACCGAAACCTAGGCGCCAGTATAAGATTGTGATGGAATACAGTTTGGGGAGGATTTCGTTCATACTTGACTGGGACGGCTGGCTGCATTGCCCTAGACCAGGTCAGTTAGCCAAGTGAAAGTGAGTTGACTTCATCAGCTGCTGTGATGAGGTGCAGGCCTGGTAATGGCAGGACATAGGCGAAGAGACTTACGAGTTGAACTTGGAGCCTGTATTCATGCTCGCCATGGTTCAAGAATGCAAAGAATGTCCTGAAGTTGCGTGTGCCGGTGGGAGAAAGCACCAAATGGGATGATGGCGGATGATGAAGAGAGAGGAAGAGAGGAAGAGAGGAAAAGGAAGAAGAGGAGGAGAGGAGATTTTATATCTGCACGCCACCTGCTCTGATTCGGGGCAGGTGCCAACGTCTGGCAAGGCCGCTCTTCTAGCTTCCCTCCTTCTTGTTTGGCAGAAGAGCCGGCAAATTCAGGCATCTATTTCGCAAAGCTGCAGCCGAGCAAGCCTGCTATTATTCCGTGCTCACCTCTATTTGCAAGAAGCCAATATGGGTAGAGACCATGCCGCCTTACATCGATGCAAGAGACATCTGAAGTAGGAGAAGCGTGGATACACTTGCGTATAACCTGAGAGATGCACACATACAGTTGCATTTATTTTCTAAAAAGCTCAAGGCATCTTGGTCAAGTTTGACACTTAAATGTGTGCTACGTACTACAGGTGTGCATCAGGAGAGATATTCAAAAGTGTTTCCCTCGCTGCGAGAAAGAAGTTGAGTAACGTTTCACTGATATGCGCAGACACAACTTGACTAATATCAAATTGAACTTTAATTGTTCAATGAGCGTATATAGACTTCCAAATTGGGTTTGCGTTCTGATATTCTTTATTATATGGATGAGAATCGATCTCTGTCCAGCCCATCGTCAAATCGTCAATCAGGCATTGTAGACAGGAGATACTGGCTACGGCTTCATAGCCAGGGCTCTTGGTTTGTAGAAGGCTGATAATGTAGGTTATTTTCAACATTGGACGAGACTGGTGACTTGAGGAATGGTATGAGAAATGAAAATTAGAAGAGGGAAGATTATTTACATCTTTATTTTTATTAACTAGTTCCCAGTCTGGGCTTTGAACACCACCAACATCAAAAGCTACACTTGATCTTTTACGACTTACCAAGCACATGTAAGCATTTAGAAACCAATGATTGAGCATTAAATATCCTTGATTAATTCACTGTTCTCTTCAAAGATAGGCGCTCGGGTTGGTTCTATGGCTTTTTGTTTTATCAGATCTGCCTAGCATATATGATGGATGGTGTTCATCTGCTATTGAGAAGCTTCATCAGTTACCAGCGAAAAAGACTACATGTAATAAATCTCTGCAGGCAATATCAAGAAGAACTAAGCAAACAAGTGCAAATCATTCAGAGACTATCTTCTCAATCAGATATATACAACTGCACAGCAACTTGAGGAGTTCCATCGCACAGCTTCAAAATGTAGCTACGAGCTTTCACGTTTTACCCTGCAGATGCAATGTCCTCGATGATCGGCACAGTCCATTCCGCTGATCTCAACTCCCATCAGACGGATTCTCCGCGCCTACGCGACCTTGTATATGCACTTGCTGCTTTTCACCATTATACTCAGGCTTAAAAGCTTCACGGCGCGTCCCCAGTGCCGCTGCAACGGGTGGTTCAACCAATTTTACAAAGCGCCATGGGCCTGTTTCGCCCGGGGTGCATGTACATATGTCGTACAGGTATATCCGCAAAAGAGCCAGGGCTGCCCAAGACAAGGTTCCAGCTAACACCCGTCGACTGGTCTCGTGAACAAATTTGGAAGCAGGCGAACGTGGTTATATCCCCGATACCGAGATTGATTCACACGTGCATCGTGCGATAGCACTCGTATATACTACAGGGCTTTTTGCTCGCCAAGAATGGACCTTTTGCTGGATAGGCACTCAGTCATTCCAAAAAGCACCCATGCGATGCGCGAGATGAGCGGCCAGACCGTGTTCCGGTTTTTGATGGTCATTGTGTGACAAGCCAGTCCTTCCCGCTGAGCGAAGACGACATACCTTGAAACATCAAGAAACGGATGGGCCTACCATTTGACCATTTCTTTCTCGCGCCGTCCAATGCTCAGGCCACAAGGCACCAGATCTGCGACGGAGCCCAGAATCGGATAGGGGCTGGGCTGCCGTGAATTGGAAGCTGGCTAGAATGACTGCTAGGGGAGCAAATCCCGTGTTCCAGGTCGGCTGGCCGTTCCGGACTCCCGTCGCCCCCATCGCCATGAATATTTGATGGGAGAGACCAGGCCAGGTTGAATATCGCCACGCTGACCTGGGACAGGCCGCGACTGGCTGGAGGCAAAAACGGCGAGCTGGCAGGCAGCATGGCAGAGTCAAACGCAGAGCGGCGCCCGACGGCTGTCCAGCGATTTATGTGACGGTGCTGCTCCTGGAGGGTTGATAGAAGTCAATATGCTGCTTTTACGCGCGCTTGTGCTACCGATACAGGTATATGATGGACATGCTGGTGCTTCTAGGTCTTGTTACTCCAGATGAGCATGTACCATTCACGAGAGCCTCGATCCAACCAACAACGACGGAAGGGAGGGTTAAATTTAGCCTTGCCGGCAGTGGTACCAAGACAAGCTGCTCCTGTCTCTCATCTGGCCGGTGAGGCTGCTCCCAAGCCATTCAGCTCCACTCCACCATCTCCGTGAAGGTCGCCACCATTCAGGTACACAAAAGACGGCAGTGTGTGTCCTTGCCAAGCTTGCCTATCAACTTATATCCCTTGCTGCCATAGATCAACGCTATCAGACGCACTGGTGTTTTCCTCTGGGAAAGCAAAGCAGCCCCCACACTGCCCGTACGTGCGAGCATGAATGCCATTGCCAAGTACCTGTACATGTACTTACAGCACTTTATTGTGCCACTGTGATATTCATGCCTTCATGTTGTCAGCTTGGATGCTCACCAAGCCTGACATGCAGCTGAGACATGCAGCGGCATCGTTCCCCGGGTCTCTCTCGCACTGACAGTCCAATGTTTCTTTTCAGCCACACATCCTCCCTTTCTTTCTTGCATCTTGCTAAGTGCTGGCAGAAACACGAGGGGCTCTTTGGTCATTGCTTTCGTTCTTGCTTGCTGCGGGGAAAACAAAAAGAAAAGATTAGCTGCTAGTAGTAGACGGCGGCCGAATGAGACAGACGTTTGCTGCAGTTGCAGCAGCCGCCTGCCTGCCTGCAGCCCGGATGCACTGCTAGCAGTTCCGCATGGACGGTATCACGGGCATGGGTCTGGCCTGGCCTGGGTTGGTTTCTCTTCCCCCTTGCATACGCTGCTAGGGCTGGAGTTTTCAGCTACCAATACTTTGGTGTCAATCCAATATTCTGGTGTCAACGATTTCGAGTAGAGTACGAATAGGTGTTCGAGTTCGAGTGCTCTTGATTGATTTATAGATCGGTCATATATCATGTCGCTTATGGCTCTTACCTACGAGTTATTGGTAAGTATTACTGGTGACAGCTCCCTTTGTGTGCAAGACCCAAAGCTTGCTGCACTCCATTACGAGCTCATGGCAAAACACATCAGTTCGAATAGGCAGTCCGGCCCTGACCGAAGGCTATGCGACTGGTATCCAGTCCATGTGGGTGGAGCTCATCGGGAAGAAGTGATGAAGAGGGCAACGTGAGCCCGTAAAAAAAGGTTTTTGTAACAGGCCGTAAAACGACCGCTTCTGATACCGTAGCGTCGCATCACACACTCTCTGTGCCTTCACATGCTTGAGACACTTCATGTAGCTTGACAGGTACCGTGCATGCAGCGAACAGGCTGGGACGGGTGACGCCACAACACTTGACGTCGCATGAGTCGCCTGTTTGTTTCTGATAGCCGCCCCCCTCTCGGCCAGGCTCAATGTATCGGGGGTGAGCCTCCTTGCAGTTCTTTTGGCCGGGCTTTACTGGATACATGTACCGTTGAATGAAGCTACAAAGCATGGCCAGTTCCAAGAACGTCCCCTTTCCGAGGATGGTTTCCAGTACTGTAGGCAGCGGCTGGAGGCAGCAGTGATATTCGTTTGCGGAGGCAAAAACCCGTCATGATGGATATATCACGCTGGATCTGCCGCGTAATGCGACTCGTGGCGGCACTTGCTTGCAAAGCTATGCTCCAAGGCTTACTGCCTAGCATATTTCATGCAAACGACGAGAAAAAAAAATGCTCATATCTCCGTGCTTAGTATGTGGTGGCGTCTCATGCGACCGATGTATCTCTACAAGTACATGGAGGCAAAGAGATCAATTCAAAAAGAAATACACGAGAATAAACGACGCTCCCTGGAGTATAAAGCAATGGCTGTCCAAGTTGCGCGCCACGGCAGCGAGCCGTCGCGATCCGGATGGCTGGAAGCCTGAACAGCTGTTCCTGCACATCCCTGCCACACCTGGGACTCGCAAACAGACTAGGCCTGGCTGTAGGGCCTGATCAAAATTGATGGGTGTCAGGTCGTGCTGGTGTCTGAGGGAGCCCAATCGCGCTGTAGGATTGAGCCCAGGCGAGATTGAAAACTTCAAAAGCAATCACTGTTTGTAGTCTGTTCTGTAGATGAGGTGGAATGTATTATTCCACAGCTAATATAGCAGTGATATTAACAGAACTCCATAGTATGTCACCATATGCTATATCCCAAGAATAACTCGAGTGAATAGTACAAGATCAAGGACCTCGCGGGGCAGATCGAAATCACCAATCTCGCTCCTCTAGCACTCATTGATCAAATTCAAAATTTACAGCGCACTCGGTAGCCTCGGGGTACTTTTTAGTGACCGGAACACATTGAAACATCAAATGGCAGATGCCCCCCAATCCATGCGTCCTAATCCCAAGCAAGCTAGAAATGTTATATTCGCTGCTCAGAGCAGCCTAGCTGCAGTGGGGAGGGACCCTTTTGGCGTTCCAGCCGACGTCGCGTGTGAGCGCCTTCGCTTATGCAGCAGCTGGGAGCATGATGAAAACAAAACAAGAACCCGAATAAGAAGAGAGAGAAAAAAAGCAAATTGTGAAGCAGCCGAGATGAAGAGAGATTGACGCTGGAAGGAGTACCCCGTACGCACAGAATAGGCTATTATACCTCATTCCGAGGCACGCTCTGTGTCAGCGGCTAAAGTATCCTTTCTCATTCCGTCGTGTACCAGTACTCCGTATTC